TTGATGTGGGTGTTAAGTTGGAGATTTTCAATGATAAATTTTATTTACCAATTAACCGTTCAGTTTCCTTTTTTGTTCACATAATGCTCTTTTCAACTGAGGAAGAACTTTCAATTTATTAAGCATTGAATAGTAGGAAAGCGAAGAACAAGCAATAACTGTACATGGACTTCTTTTTTCTAAGAGTAGTCAAAATAGCTAAAACTTTGATTCTTCACTTGGTTATGTGCACAGAGGGTGTCAGATATTGGTAGAAAAAATATTCAGGTATGGGCTCGTAGTTTCCTAGTAATGGTCATAGAGATAGCAATAGAGAATTTAATGTAAACGGATTTTAGGCCTTCTCTCTGACAAATCTTCGAGCGTTTTCCCAATAAAATAGCAAAGAATGGATCTCGAAAAGTATATTTTTCTCCAAGAGGTTGTGTGGGTGTGTATGTAGGATTGCGTGTGGAGTGTGTTGTTGTTGATGTGAATAGAGTGTCCCTGAAGAAAAGATCTACACGCACACATACACCTTTTCCCATCGTATTTGCAAAAGCATCTGCTGTGGCTTTCACGTTTTTCTTTCAGCTGATTGTAGCATTAGTTTTGTTTTTATTATATTTTCATGATTGTTTTCATCTTCATTTATTATCTTGCTATCAATTGATCACAAAAGTATTGTTTAATTTTTCGACTTTGAGATATTTCTGTGTAAATTAAGCACGCTAAATAAGTAGATAAACAGAGCTAACTATCAATTGTAAGCAGAATAGTGTTTTTACTTCACAAATGGAATTCAGAGCAAAGTCTCTCTCCCATAGTAACACTGTTATACTAAGTGAATAGATCAATCAATAAAAATGATGTCAAACTGTACATGTCAGCGATCACAATTGATTCAATACGAACAGATTTTCTGCTGTACGAAAAAGCTTTTATATCAAAAAGTGAAGTAGTGGAAAAAAGGGGAAAAAATGGAAGAGATGATAGCTGTGATCTACATCCATCAATGAGTATATAGGTATGAGAATTTTTGCTTCACTGAAACCACACCCAAACATTTAAAATTTTCACATCATTGGTGGGGAACAATAACAGTAAAAACAGTTCAATTATGTTTAACAAAGCCAATTTTAATGTCAATGAGTTAATCAACAAACATAAAGTAAAAAACAATGTCTACATGAGACCTATTTGAATATTTAATCCAATTTAAAATGATTATCAATGACAAAAATAAATTAGTGAAAAACGATAGTATACCTTTTTTCTAATATTCGAAAACAGCAAAATTCTGTTCTTTATGTGGGTGTCATCATTTTGAACATACATTCTAAAAAAACTTACAAAAAATAAAACTTCAAAGAATTTGCGATCATGTTATAAAAATATGGAAATTGCTTGAGTTGTGCATTGTATATTCAAGTTTACTTTTTCGATGAACTTCTGGGATACTCTGTATATTGTCTTTCAAAAAATGCGTTCATGTTCATGATAACATAACTTTCATTTATTCAAGTATGAAATAAAATATGAAGCCTTTACTAGAACACGTGCACTTTGCTCACTATCAATAATTATATCCTTGAATATATGGTGAATGAAGTTTATTGTTGTGAACATTTGTGTATTTTGGAACAATTTCAGTGTCTTATGATATAGAGAAATTTAAATGGCTTTGTTTACTCTAGTCAAAATCAACTTCCTTGCACGAGAAGGATTTTTATTTTATTTTCGCATTTACTCATTTACTCATGGCATCCAGCTCATCTTGAATCCTTTATGTTGGTAAATGCAGTCGTTCTCAATAAAGCTCTTGGTTGAAAGGTATTCAAATAAAAAAAAAGATAAGAAAAGTGAAGTGTTGGCATTCTCGAAAAGTAACATACGAAGCATTCGAAGAAAACGAGCAGGTAATGTCACATACACAATATAACCTGAAATCGACAATAGCTCAACATCCAGATTTTCACAACTTTTCTGGTTAAAATTATTTGATAGTGCTGAGGAATTAATCACAGTAATTTGAATAATAAGTTAAAATCATTTAAAAGTCATTCAGATAGCGCAAATATGATTGAATTATAATAACAGATGAAGACAAAAATGAAATCGAAGCCAATGAAGGACTTTTCTTTTAGTATATTGGCTGATAACTTTTTGCCATTCAGCTATCTAGTTGACTAATTCTTCTGTGTTCATCTCATTCTTCTTCAATATTTTTATATGTCTCAATTCTATCATGTTGTCTATATTTTACTTCCTTTTCTGCCAATTTTATTTATCATCTAAACTCATTCAAGAAACTGCGATCGAACTGTCAACATAGCGTAACTAGAGATCTCATGAGAAAAAGTATGAAATTGTTAATAGGATGTGGGCGGGTGTGGATTACAAGAAGAACACCCACACCCACGCTCCACATCCACACCCACACCCACACCCTCTTGAATGAGCAGGCGAACCGTCATAAGTAGACACTTTATATGTCTTGATTTTGCTTTAGAGTGAATGCATAGAACGAAAAGTTGCCATCAAAATATAAACTTCGAGAAGCTCACTAGGTTACAGAACGAATATGAAGCGATAGAGTCTGAATCTTCTGGCCAATGGAAAAACGTGACTTTTTTTTGCTTTCTTTTGAGTTTCATTTTATTTAGTTCTTTTTTCTTCATCCTTTCTTTTATTTGAAATTTAGCAAGAGAAGCAGGAGTAAGAGCAATAACATATTTGTTCGATGTTTATGATGGTAAACGAAAAGAAGGCCGAATAATTTTGAAGAAACGCGCTTGCTTTGTTATTGTCAACAATATGGAAGAACTTGACCACTTGGCTGAAGCATTGGACAATATTAACATTCAATATGGAAGTGATGGAAAAGATCGTTCAAATCCGTTATGGGCCAAACGAGTAGCTGAGAAAGACGATGTGGTCCATGAAATGTATAAGCTGGTTCAAACAGTGTCTGATTCATTCCCATTGACGTCCTATCTTATATCACAGTCACATGGTCGCCAAATAGTGGCTTTACAACGAATTCGATTTAAAAAGAATCCTGTTCATTTGGATCTCGTCTGTTACATGTTACTTAATTCATCGTCTAATTTTTATCAATTTCATACACTCAATACGTTGGCTGCAAGTATGAACCAGTGTGACTATAGACAGTTGATTCAAATTCAACAAACGCTTGTTCAGTACATTCCTCCGAAAGAAACGTCTCGATCAAATATGAAATTCCAATTGCTCGAAATTATCAAACCTATGCTTGTATTTTCGATGGCAGAAATTGTAGAGCACACATTTTGATGGCGAGATGTTGAAAGTAAATTTTTCAATAGTCTCTCAGGAATTTCACAGTATCGTATTTCCAATTTGTACGTCATCCGAAATCATCGTCTATTCCAACAATTCGAAGATTATCGTTCTAAATTTCGACAACATGTTCAAATAATGTTCGTCTATCATGGATCATCTCGCGAATGTTTGCGAGCTATCGCAAAAAATGGTTTTCTCGAACCGAAAGAATTAAGTCAAATGTCAAATATTGACTTAAAATCACACAAGATCAGTATACTCGACTCAGGCTATTTTGGTCGCGGTATCTATCAGGGGTTTGCAGCCGATTATGCCATTCATTATGCTGAAACTTACAAAAATTCAGATGAAATAATACTGAGTGCTGTGTTGCCAGGTCACTCATACACTGTCAAGAAAGGTGGCGAAAAATTTGGTCGACATTGTGAACCTGATTTTGACTCGCACATATCACCCGAAGCCAAAGAAATTGTTTTATTTAAATCGGCACAAATACTTCCCATGTTCATTATTCGATTTGTACGCGTGCCCAATGAAAAGATTGCTGAAGAACAGCCTTGAATACTGATTGGACCTTCATGTTATTAGAGGACAAAGAGAAAGTACCTCTTTCTTACTCATAGCATTTCGATTATACTTTGTATTTCTCGTACACATTTTTCATCAAAAAAATTCACGCAATTTGGAAAATAAAGCGGTTTCTGAATGATCTCTTAGGAATGTGCATCAGCAGTTTTCATCCCGGCTCAAAGATCTGAGAGACTAGGTGTGGATGTGGGTGTGAGTACGCTTGAGCCACAGAACCAAACCCATACCCACACTCACTCCCACACCAACACCTACACCCCCACCCCCATTCCCTTGCTTAGCTTTCATGATAGATATTTCTTCTTCTTCTTCTTGATGCATTAGCCACGAATCAAGTCATTTACTCATTCTCCACGTTTAACTAACATTTTGAAATAACAACAATTTTGCCAAGATCGTAGAAATATGGCGAGTGTCCATCTGAAATTCGTTTTTCAAAAACTCGATTCTATTTCAGGAACTATAATAATGTGGAAAACGATAATTGACTGATGCAAGTTTCCTTACATGATCATGTACCACTCAAACTGCAAAAAGACCATTGATATTTCAAATGTTATAGGCAATAGTTGGTTAAGTAGCATTATCTCCTATGTCAGAATTTGAGGGTGTGTATGTGGGTGTGAGTGGGTTTGAGTGTCGGTCCATTCTTTATTCACATGTGACCCTCATTATCATCCACACCTACACCTACATCCCACACCCATACCGTTCTTGATTCAACTGACTCATTGATTTTTACACTTGATTCACGTACTAAGTATGTGCTCATTCTAACCATGATACTTGTGTAATATTGGATACTGTAAAAACCGTTCAAGTTATTCCATGCGTTTATAGAATTTTGTATTAATAATTTCATCTTTTGAAGCTCATGTACTTTTCCATAGATGAAAACAAAATCTTTCAAAGACGAACTTTTTTCAAATTCTACACATAACACAAGAAACTTCTTTTGTTTTATTATTAAATAAGTTTACTGAGTAGAACTTTTGCATGTTCAGTTTGTAATGTGATGTGAAGTTCGATTTCATCGTTGTTCATTGTTGGTAAAATAAAAATAAGACCGTCAGATTGAATTGAACATAATTTGAACTGTTTCGCTCCACCTTGACCAAAGTCACATCTGTACAAAGGAAATCGTGTCCAATTAGTAAATGACAGGTCATTACCTCCCGTCGTTTGCCAACCTAGATGAATCATTGACGAACGATAATGTTTATCAATGAATGCCAATGCTGATTCAATGTATTCCGTTGTCATTAACTGTCGTTTTTCAATATTGATTCGTTGAGCTAGTTCATCAATAGTAAGATCATCGAGATCGGACATTGAAAAGGAGAGACACAAATAAAAAGTACAATTACCAAAATAGTTTGCATCAATACCGGGCAAGAAAGTTCGACCATTCATAGCCATACCAATTTTGACCGTCGATTGACGAGAAATGCAACGAATTCGACTTATTATTTGAGTTAACCATGCCGTAAGAACATCATTGACTGAAATAAGTCCGTTCTTATTCATTATATTCAATCGATCAAAAAGATAGGTTTTTGTATAACATTTGACGATTGTATTTGATGAAGATCGAGCAAATAAAGAATAGCCGATAGGTTCGACAAGACTCATTTCTGGATGATCGAATTGAATCGAAGACAAACGAGCGAGATTTTGCAATTTCGATCGATCGTGATCGAACGATAATGATTTTTTTTCCTTGAGCCAACTTGCAAATCGTTGACCCAAAGTACTTAGTCCATGACCATCCGTTAAGTAGTGATGACAACCTATTGCTAATAAAGTTCCATCTTGTAAGTAGATTTGATGTATAAAGATCAATGGTGACAAATCTGTTGGTATTATACCATAAGGAAATATATCTTCATTAAGCAGATCATTGCCCAAATATTTAACTATGCTTTCATTTAATCTTGATTCGCGCGAGAATACTTTTCGTTCTTGTTCATTCTCACAATTCACTATGCGTCCACCCATTGGATAACGGTCATCATCAATAATACGTTTCAATGCTTGTGGACAAAATTGACGAAGATACTCATTGAATGGTTGTTCTAAATCATCGATATGATAATTGTAGACGAGTAATGAACGAATATAAACACATGGCATGATAATATCACTCAATGAAAGACGATCTTCTTCTGTTTTTGAGAACATGATTGACAATCTTAAACACAATGGATTAATGAAATTCTAAGTAACTTTATTCAAAACCAAAGAAATATTTCTGGAATTGATCTTTGAATCATAATCAATCGCGTCTATTTCTCAATAAACAGGTAGAAGAAGAAAAGTTTTTTGAGATGTCATGCTCTGAATTTCATTCAAAATAATAAATTCGGTCAATATTTACAATTTCTTTCGAATTTAGAAGTTCATTTTTTTAAGCTTTATATCGACGAGAAGTCGATCATATTTCATGAAAAAATCAGTATAGCACCATATTTTACTAGTTTACTGAACAGACCAAGGTAATAGTACACGTTTGACTTGGTTTGCAATGCAAAATCAAATATTTCGGTTTATTTCAAAGTAGTGGCGTAACCAAGATTTTCCAGTATCATGGATCTCCATCAGAAAGCATGGATCCAAAATGAAAACTTATGTACATTGATATTGGACTCAAATAATGAAGTTCTATCGGAAAAAAATTAGCATTTTCCTGAGCCCTACCAGAAAATGTTTAACATCTTTAATGATATGTCGTTTTCAGGTATGCCATCGAAAGCTACATCAAATTTCATCGACAGATTTCAAATTTCATTTAAAAAAATTCATCCGTTCAGAAGTTGTGCGGTTTTCAATTCCTGGTGAAATTTTTTCGAAACGTCTCGAATCTTAAAAACGCTATAACTTCTGAACGGATGAATTTTTTAAAATGAAATTTGAAATCTGTCGATGAAATTTGATGTAGCTTTCGATGGCATTTCTGAAAACGACATATCATTAAAGACGTGAGACATTTTCTGGTAGGGCTCAGGAAAATGCTAATTTTTTTGCAAACTCTGATTCAAAATTTTTTCCGATAGAAACTCATCATTTGAGTCCAATATCAATGTACATAAGTTTTCATTTGGGACCCATGCTCTTTGATGGAGATCCAGGATACTGGAAAATCCTGGTTACGCCACTATTTCAAAGTCAGAAATTGTCTGCTGCTTTTTATTGTTTCGTTTCTTTTTCATGATCATGGATAGGTAATCCACAAAAAGAGAAAATCATGAAAAGAACGAAGCCTTTACTGCATCAAACGATTTCGATATACTTACTGAATAAAAATAAACTGCAGTTGAACATCAATCTTGCATGTGACATAGGAAAAATAATGCAGATCTAGTGCATTTATAGATGAAATGTATGGCCACGTCACATCATCACATGTCATACCTGAGTGAGTGAGTCATTCTGGTATGATGATTCATCAAATCGAAAGGAAAATCATTCATTCTGCTTTAAAGTTTAAAAAGGATGGAGAAAATTGATGCAATTTCACAGTTTCATAGTATATTTCGTAACTTGTTGAATCTCTTATGGTTTCATTCAGTTTACATTTTTTTCATGTTGAATAGTCATCGAACATCATAATTTACTTTGAATGACTTTTTGTATGTTAATGTTATAGTATTTTAGTAAATCCAATTCGACTAATAATCAAACAGAGTTTTATTGAACAATACATACAGTGTCTATCCCTCAAAGGCTATGTCTGTTATGAATTGTTGTTACAATTCAAATAAATAAATAGACATTATTTGATTAATTCCTACAAAGTGAGCAAAATCATCAATCAATGAGTGTTCTGGAAATAGCATCTCTTTTCGGATTAATTCATAAATATTTACTGAAGAATCCTTATGTTAAATTCTTCGATATGTTTACAGTAATTTGTACTGTGTGGGGTGTGGCTGTGGGTGTGGGTGTGGCTGTGGGGTGTGGGTGTGGGTGTGGGTGTGGGTGTGGGTGTGGCAGTGGCTGTGGTTATGGGTATGGATCTTTGCAACGATACGCATACCCCCCACCCACACCCACACACCCACATCCACGCCCACACCCACACCCCACATCCACACCCACACCCTCAAGAGACCCACATCCATATCCTCATTTAGAAATCTTACCTCGTATTCATTCACGTATTCTTTTTACTATTGATTATTCCCAACCTGATTCGTTGTCATTTATTAATTTTCCAAAAGAAACATTTTATCAATATTTTATTCATCTTAATAAATCACCTGTATATTATTACACATAATTTGACAATAATATGTGTTCTTGAGGAGTGTGGATATTTTTTTCGCTAAGACCTGTACCCTCACCAACTTTACACACTTACACCCATGCATATATGGTGTTTCTGTATATTTTAGGTAATAGAATTCTTCATTTTCTTCTCACTGATCAAATCAAACAACTCGACGTTGAGATCAAAGATGGAAACGCAACAACATTATCCAATGAAAATAAATTAAATGTATTTTGATTATTATTATTTTTAAGTAAAAAATTAACTGATTTGATCTCTTATGAGTATTCATTCGATCAACGTTTACCGATGTCAACTTTTAGTCATCCAACGACAATTTGGGTATCTTCAACTCTGACTAAATTAAAAATTAATGTTAATACTTTTGATGATTGTCTTTATCTTCTTGATGAACGTCTTCAATACTAATTTCACGTTGATTATCAGTATCCTAGAATATTACTATACTTCAATTCATCATACAATATTTTATGACGAACAAATTGTTTCACTACTTAATCGAATGACAAATCTTTAATAATTAACATTATTTCTTTCAGTATAGTCACACTCATTGCTAACAAAAATATTAAAATTGATTTTCCATCAAATGATAAGATATGCAGTTTTAACAAAATAGGATATAATCAGCTGGTTCGTATGCTAATTTTAATACAATCACAGTAGTTACTCGATGTAATGTCTATTTACTTCCATATCAATTCAATATTTTCATTAATCTGACTAACTTTATTCAAGGTGGTATGTTTAAGAAAGTTCAATGCTTAATTATGAATGATATAAGTCCATTCGAACATGATTTATTCAAACTTGTATCTCAAGATTTACCTTATCTTGAAAAGTTAGACGTATGTAATTTTCATGCACAAAAAATAAGCAATATCCATCTTCATTAATTGTATTTTCTCATTTTATCTCGTTCAGTCTCGGTACATCATATATGAATTATGCCGAATAGTTTCTTTTCGAAATGCAAACCCATTTACCTCGTTTAATGGAACTCACATTGGGTACGAAACACTCATAATCGTAACAAATAATTTCACCAATGATGCAGTATGTCTTAATTGTGCTAGCTTGAGAAATATGCACACAGAAGAATCATTTATTTGCCCAGAAAATTTTCATTAATGTTTTCTTTTATCCTAAATGGGATTTCTTTTATTAAAACTTTTTATTTCAATAAAGAATATTTTAAGAAAATTGATTATATATATTTTTAAGCACGATATAGAAAAGTTACAAACAATTTTCTTCATTATTGTCTTGAATTAATTTTTAATAAAAGTCAAGCTTTTTATGATTTAGTTTTGTTGAGAGATAAATAGAAAATAGTCATCTTTAATAATTTTTTTTTCTTTTGATTTCAAACAATCGACTGAAATAAGTGATAACTAATTTTTGGTTATAGTTGTTATAATCAGTTCAATTGAAAACCATTTCAGAAAAGCAATATTTCATATTTTGTCTATACAGAAATATACTTGTAAAATAAAATAATTAGTACTATAGATGTTTTTTTCAGATATCTGCTATTTAAAATTATTCATTATATAATTTTTATTTTATTATTTTCTACACTTGTTCTATTATCCATATGTGTTTGTTGTTTCATAGATATTGATCTTAATAAAATGTATAAATCGAATATTACTAGTCTGTGTTTAAAATATTGAATTTTGACAGCATGAGATGCAGAGTGTGGTCATGATAGTGGCAGATTTTCAACTGCAATAGATATCTATGTTAGTTGAGTCTTTTAAAGTAAAACTATGCTTAGAATAGTTATAAATATATTTTATGTACTTAGGAGTAATTCAAACGAAAACTTGAAGTGTATTGTGAAACACAAACTAAAAGAAAATGTCGAAGTTTAAGAGTCCATCTAAATCAATTTATATTAGGTCAGACAGGCGAAAAGAAAGTAGCAATTGTTGTTCATATTGAACAAAAATTTCAACTGACCACATTCATCACGTTATTCTATTCACATACAGATTTTTAATGCTTGATTTTGTCACAAGTATAAATGAGTTCGAATAGGGCTTCAATTTGGTATTCACTTTTCATTCTGCGGAGACAGTTGTCTCTATTTTTATTTCAAATACATTCGAATTAAAAAAGAAGATTTAAAAGTTAGAGTTAGTACATTGTTCATCTACCATTGTACAACTGACTTGAGACGTCATTGCTAATTGCCATATATTATATATTGCTTCCATATGTTCAACATTTTCAAACCTAATACAAGGTAATAAGGATTAAAGGCTGCCAGGAAAAGTTCTCTCATGAATAGACAGTTTTTACTTACTCGGCAATTATTGAGAATCGCTGCTCATGTTCAGTTTTTGAATGTTCAGTTTTTGAATTTTTTGCGCCGAGTCTTGACAAAATTTGACTAAGTTCTCCTATGATTTCTGCATCTAAATATGAATGCCTAGAGTTAAACTGTGATGATCTGCAAATATTTACCTTGTGATTTTAAAGTGAATACTAGTTTCTTATTATGTTTCTGTTCAGGTACATCAATTATTTCTGCATCATGAAATAAAAATTCTTCCTAAAATCGAAAGAAACAATATCGAATACATTCTGAATTTTTTTAATTCGATTCAACCGTGTCTTGGATAGAAGAATCAGATAAGTCAAATAGAAAGGTAAGTAAATTTACAGTATTTTCATACAGAGAATAAAAAGCTTCAGTAGGAACATTCAGTAAATTGCTCAATTTCGATGACATGGTTGACCAAAAGGAAAAGTTTTGAGAAACACTTCGAAACCATGCAAACATAAGATCTCGATTAAGACACTGACCAATACCAAAAATCAATTCTTCCACACCTGATGGAGGTTTCTTCACACTAAAATCTTCATCAACATATTCTTGACTATTAACCATTGTGACGAGAGCAACTTTATCATAATAGGTGATATTACCTTCCGTTGTGGGATGAATGTTTGGATGAACAAGACTCAAAAGTCTACAAAATTCATTGACAACCTCTTGTCGATATCTTCCAGTCCACATATTTGTACAAACAAGAGCACAGAAGATATTTTTACGAGAACATTCATGAAGTAACCATTGAATATGATCTAATATGGCAAACGAACCTGGTGAAGCACAATAAATCATGCATAGTGGTTGAGCTTGTTCAATCAATGATGCGAGGTAACTGCGAACATCATTTTCATTCCATGATTCAATACCAGGTGTATCCCAAATAATCGTTTTATGAGTTGATTGACCATTTGAACATTCATATGAATATGTGGTAACCGACTTGGTCACTGAATTCAAACTTGCCGTTGATTTGGCTAATTTTTGTTGACAGATTGCATTGATCAAAGTACTTTTACCAACACGTGCTGATCCACAAAGAAGAATATTCGATTGTTTTAGATGATTTGTCATTATCTATATTTTCTAAAAATGAATGAAAAGAGATAAAAATAATTTGTCTTTCGTTATTTTCGAGTAAAGAAAAAATTTAACGAGAAGAAGAAACTTTTTATTATAAGTGATATCAAAGTCTGAATAATAAAAAAAAAAAGTTGAATATTGATTGAAAAAAGCATGATTACATTTTGCGTTTAATAACAGTCATAATAAGCCCAAATAAAGCCGTTGCAATCTCTTTGCCATGTTCTTGAAAAAATTTTTCCACAACCGGTTGAGATATTTTAAAGAATTCTGTAAGCTTCGACCCCATCTTTGTCCAAAATGATTCATTATCAGCTACAGTATAACACCAAGCAACAATTTTATCATCTTTCAATGAAGTTAAAATGCCGAAAATAAGTTCATTGACACCTTCGGCTTCTTTTCGAACACATAAATCTCGATCTTCATATACAATACTATTCACTGCAGTACATAAAGCGACATCACCATAATACTTAATCATATTCTCGTCTCTTGTCATTCCATGATAGCGTGTTAAAAGTGAATGAAAGTCTTGCATTACTTGTGTACGTTTTTCATGTCCTCCACTGTATTTATTTGTACAAACTAAAGCACAAAAGATATTCGATTGAATACATGTATTAACTAGCCATTGTAATTGATCAAGTCGAGCAAATGAACCAGGTGATGCACAATAGATCATACATACAGGTTTACTTGTTTGCATAATATTTGATAAATATGATCGAACGTGTTCTTCCGTCCATGATTCAATACCTGGAGTATCATAGATGGTAATCGTATATCGAACGGAATTGTCACGATCATTGGTGAAAATGTCATTTCTATTGATAATATATTTTTCCATTCGTTCGGTATGAGAACAGAGACTGCTACTTGTTCGAGCCACCTGTTTTCCACAAATAGCATTAACAAGAGTGCTCTTACCAACATGTGCTGAACCACATACAACAATGCTATATTCTTTTGCCATACTTGTTGCTAAAAGAATATTATCTAAAATACAAGAAAAATAGAGAAAATTTGTTTTAATTTTCACTTCTTTTTAAAAAACTGTTCATAGAAATAAGTGAAAAAATTTCTTGCCGTTCTTTCCGGAGATGGACTCACTAAAGTATGCAAATTCACAAGACGTAACGAAAAGAAACCACCAATTTTCTGACTAATCTTTTCCCAGTAGGTGCGACGATGAAGTACAGTATAGCACCAAGCAAGTAATTTCTCTTGATCAAGGGACTCCATGATACTATGAATAAGTTCGTCAATGCCTTGTACAGGCATTCGTTTATCAGACAAATCGGGATCATGATATTCTTTTGAATTAACCATTGTACAAAGAGCACCTTTACCAAAAAAAGACACTTTATGATGAGTTTGAGAATGAGATTGATCAGCAAATTTATCAATTTGTTCACCGAAGAATTGAAGTTCTTTTTCGAATTCTTTAATCACCATATGTCGATTACTTCCAGACCACATATTCGTACATACAAGAGCACAAAATATATCTTTACTTTTACAAAATTCAAGTACTGGATGAACTTGTTTTAAATCAGCAAATGATCCAGGTGAAGCACAATAAATCAGACAGACAGGATTTTTCTCTTCAATAAATTCAAGCATTGTCTTTTTTCCACTTTGATTTATCCATGATTCAATACCAGGTGTATCATAAAAATTGATTTTAAATGGTTGCTCATCACTTTTATGTTGTCGATCGTCTTCTAAAACATAACATCTCACTTCCTTGGTACAAGAATTTAGACTTGAACTGGTTTCTGCTCGACACTTTCCGTTACATAAAGCATTGATAAGTTCACTTTTGCCGACACGTGGTGAACCGACGATGAGAATATTGAATTGAATTTTTTCTATAGCATAATCTACTTCTGGTTGATACAAATCTTTAGATAAAGAATTTTGTACATTCGTAACTTTCTTAGCTAAATTTCCCAATGTGTTTCTATTGCATTTTGGTTTGCTATTAATGGTAGAAGAAGATTCGAATTTTGTCGAAACTTGGAATTTCACTCGATCAGAAGATATATTCACACTACTCGAACGATGTTTTGTATGAAATCGATTCTTTTCTACTGTCTCCTAGAATAAATATGACATGCAAATTTGTTAAATTGATGTCGAGCTTTAAATCAACATTCAACTCTTACTTCTTCGAATAGATCGAGATCAATACAGTTACTTTCCTTGTGATAGGCAAATATTGATCGTGAGATATATTTTTTACAATTAGGACATTGATTTGTCTTGGTCGCACATAGGAGCAAATGAGTACGCATATCATTCGAAGTTGAAAGATATTCACCACACAACTGACATAAAAAGCCTTGATTACGACAGTTTTCATTCTAAGAAATGATTATATACAAAATAGAATATTAATCAGATTTATCATATACCTTGTGTCTATTCAAAGCTGTTTGATCGAAAAATTTGTCGCCACAGTGGCATACCAACATCGATTTGCTTTCGTGATTCATAGAGGTGATTGTCAATATATGTAAATCTTACTCAGGCAACATAATAGTGAAGTCAAATACAATGTCGCGCCTTTTGTGATTTCTTTTTTTTTTAATACAGAACGGAAGAATGTGAGATGATTGTTGCTTTTTCTACTCGCTACCAAACTCCTTTTTTGTCGATGGAGAGAACGCAGCTATTAAAAAACAAAGTAGGAGTGAATGACATGTTGTGAATAAAACTAGGTTTTTTCCTACACAAAATGAATATGTGCATGTTTGACTAGTGTGATTTTGCATTCAATAAATAAGAATAATTTAGAGTGTGTCATCTATTTATGATGTAATAAAATCTGATTTGGAAGAGATCTAATCGATGATTTCAAAAGAAATTTCCAAGTTTTACATTTTCCATAGTGAATCAGGTTAAAAAAAATCGATAAGATGTATTTTTAAGATCTTCATTTAAAAGAAAGTGCAACAACTGAAGTAGCTGTCTAAATGCATTTTGATCGGATCAGACTGGAGATTTCCTGTTTGCACTGGAAGAAAAATAAAACTATTTTATCTTCGAATCACTCTGTTATTCCATGCTACGTAGTTATTCACCTTTTCAAATTTACAATACGGGGCCAGAAGATTACGTATGTTCGAAGTATTAAGGGTCATATTAATTTCAAAATATTGTATGTGATTGTGACAACACGTTAGTTATAATTTCTCTATTACGAATTCGATGTTTCTGTGATATTATTGAAGACAAGGATGATATAAAAGTAATGAACTTTGTCCAATTTTAATTGTACGCTCGAAGAATGGAAGTGTTGTTGATTATAGTCGTCCATCTCATCGTAGGCTTCATAAATATGGTGGAAAGATTCAGCCAAACCGAGATGGTTTGAAGGAAGAATTTCTTCGTGTATATCAAGTGCTTATTCGAAGTATGAAAGTGTTTTCGAATATTTATCCATCGTGGAATACATTTCATCGATATTGTTGTAGAATGTAGTCAAATCTGGATAGTTCGATGGAACAATTTTTTTACGTATTTCCAATGCTTTTTAGTAATATGAAAGCAATGTCGAGCACTCATCCATGTTATTGTAGACCAAGCTGATATTGTTGTAAGAAACAGCTAAATCGGGGTGTTATGAGGGAGTACTTTTTCATCCATTGCAAGCGTTTTTTCGAAGAGTAAAATCGCCTCTTGAAATTTGCCTTGTTAGTCGTCGGTTCGTCTGAGTTAGTGAGAGATACAGAGTTTCTCATGGTTCATAGAACTCCGACCGAGTAACAGCTTGTATACTTGTTCAACTATGTCTAACTCAATTAGTTTAATTAGCAGTTTATACAGTCACGGCACCGAATTTCACGTCTTTCAAAACTTTCCGCACAAATCCGTGCTGTAAGAGCAATAAGTTGTAGATCGTTGTCACTCATGAAGATGAGTTCAAATTACTAATAATCGATTTAGGTTTTCTGGAGTGTGGGTGTGACTCGTGCGTTTTCTTCTCATCCACATCTACAAGTAACGCTCGTCGCTTCGACTCGCTTAGCCCTCGACTGAACAAGATATCATATTCAATTTTTCACAGACGATATAGCAATAGAAGTTCACAAAAATTATACGAAAACGCAGAGTACTTTTTGAAAATTCTACTAGAAATTTGTACACATCCTAGAACATTCCTCGATAATGCTGTTGACTATAGAGTTCTCTAGGAAAATGGAAGTTCTGTGGAACCCCTAGCCGAAAATAAAACATTATATCTGATCTCTAATCGAAATCTGATATATACAACACGCTCTTATTCAAAGTAGTGATAAGACTAGACAGGTAATTTAAATATATCAATGTATATTCAGATACTTGAATTAATACAAACAAAAACCATATTCCAAAAGAAACATTCTTTTATTTCATTCATGTTCACTACCGATGCAGCGAATATAAATTCTTTCAGTAATACTTTTATTCTGACGAACTATTCAGTTATTTTGTCGAAACATAAAAACCGGTTCTTATCCTTGACTTGACATAGTTTTTTCAACTTTTTGTATCTGATATTCCTTATTCAGACCCATTTGACTTCGACTATTGACTTTTATTCAATGAATCCCAACACTTCGAAGCGGCACTTCTGGAGATAACCCAGTGCAGCAGCTAGCCGCGAGTGGCGCCCCGGAGGGGCGCCGATGAGTGACTAATTGCTGCCAGGTCTACTCCCATCTTTTCACAACACTATCCCTCTGTATTTTAAATTCACCTGGTCCAGAATTTACTATTTCAAAACTTCGTTAGTCTAAAGCGTTAGAATTATCGATAGGAATTTTCAAACAAAAGTTTTCTCATGAATTATTTCTCATTTCCGCAATTTGATTGTAGAACTGAGAAACCAGAATATTCTTTGAGGTTCTCATTAAGGAAATCTTAGTGCACTATTCTTCAAAATGCCTAACCGATACAAAGATATTTAGTGAGATCAGTCTGTAGTATGTTTGCAATGTTCA